TACAAGAATATACTGACTATCTCTTGTGAGAATGTTAAAAAAGGCATCACTATCTACTCAACAAAGGACAAACAAGCTCTGATATGGTGCATCCATGTATCTGTGGTCCCTCTTCCCTATTTCCAGGGTCATCACCCCCTCCTTCCACCTCTCCCAGCCCTCTCTGACCCCTCCTGCCCGGGATGCTCATCCTGTTTCCTATAGTTTCCTCTTCCCTGTGGACAGGAAATGGCTGGAGCCCACGGATATACACACAGGGGGGAGCCGGCAGGAAGTGATCTCACTGCAGCACCTGCAACCAGGAAATAGAACAGCCCCAGCAGGGAGGTGGAAGAACAGGCTGTGTATGCTCACACACACACACACACACACACACACACCACACACACATATATATTATATATATATCAAGATATATATATATACAAACAAGGTGCCCTAACACAAACAACCCCCTGGGACTTCCCCTACAGCTGTTGCCCCACTGGAACCACAACAACAGGAAACAGGACTGGTGGAGCAAGTTTTCAGATGCCACACAGCACAGCTCCTCAGCTCAGACATCATCACATCTGATTAACTTGTTACACACAGAAACTATCTTCTATATCAACTGGTGGCATATAAGAAACCGTCTGTTGGTGTCATATTTCGCCTAGACCAGGCTTGGCTCTTTGCTCTTCTTGGGCCTCGGGGGGTCTATACAGGGGCTGGAGGTAAATAACTTCTTCATTAAAGCTCTAATTCAATTTGGGGGCATGGGGGGTTTCTGGGGCGAGGGAGAGTATGTGCATATAATTGTGTTTGTGCCAGGGCGGGAATATTCCCCCCAAGCACAGGCTGATAATCTAAAAAGTTTAAATTCATTACCTATCTTAGGAAATACATTCCAAGCGTCTTATTGAATCATGCCAGGACGGGGTCGAATAATGGTGAGCTACGCAGGGGGAGTGGCGTCCAATCGGTTTCAGGTTGTCTCGGGGCCTCCTGAATCCATGCTACTGTGATCAAGGGGGCGGATGAATGTCCCCTTTTCCCTCAGGTGTAAGCTGTACAACAATAAATACTTTTTTTTAAAACCTTTTTCTGAAATCTGCTCAAAGAGCTCATCTGCAATTGCCCTTCTGCAACAATACTAAAGAAGTAGCTCTTATTCAGTTTGTTGGTTTGAGGAGATAGATAACCACTTTTCCCCTTTGTGGGTCTGTAAGGTAAATGAATCTACAGCCAGCAGCTGGTTATCTTAGCTCAGCATTAAGACAGGACACTTGGGGAAACAGCTAGTCTGGCTCTGTGCCTGCCAACACCTCTAAAGCTCACTAATTGAAACGTTATACATCATTTTCTTTCATCTGTACATGTAGTTACTTTGATGAGTCTTGATATTCGGATAGTTACAGCTCCTGCCCAAAAAATAGTCAGACACATAACTATGTAACTACTACATATTATACAAATTATATATAAAGTGAAGTTATAAAGCCCCTCCAGGATTTCAAAGGTTTTTTTTGGGTTTGATGCGGCCTAAAATGGCTGATTTCAGGTCAGCTTGGGATGCATGTCGCAAAATGTTTTGCAATTAATTTGCAGAGGAAGGTGAAAGTTGCAAAAATGGTTACGATTATTATTATTATTATTTGTATGATTAATTAAAAATCAAAGGAAACTCCAGTGAGAATAAAATGGCAATGTTTGGAGGGTAAATGTGAGAAGTTTGCGTCACACCTGCTTGCACTACTATAAACAAAGTGAGTTTGGTGAAGTATGGCGCAACATTTTTTGACGATTAATCAAATTTGTGGAAAAGTTGCATTTGATTGGACAAAATTGCAAGTGTTAGTGAGTTTTAGAGGTGCTTAGTGAACAAGTGTCAAACTATTCCTTTAAACTCAAGCTACCATATACCATAAATTAGTCATTTTGCATGATCCTCATAGTATTTGAATATATGAAATATACGGCCAAAAAGGATGTCACACTATGATACTTTTGTGTACAATAGTGTGCTTCCTAGTTTGTAACAACTGTTTGGGGAAGTCCCTTTCCCGTTTCAACATGACAATGCCCTCTTGTATCAAGCCAGGTAAATAAAGGATGGAGTGTGAGCCAGGTCTTATCGCCCAACATCAGTGCCCAGCCTCACTAATGCGCTTGTGGCTGAACGGGAGCAAATCCCTGCAGCCAGCATCCAAAATCTTGAGGAAAGTATTTCCAGAAGTGAAGAGGACTATGGAGTTATAGTTATAGTCGACTATTAATGCACATGATTTTGAAATGTCTAACAATCTCATATGGGTGTAATGTTTAGCTGTCTGCATACCCTTGGCCATGTATTGTAAGTAAATGTTCTTGTGAGAGTTTGAATTCACTTGATATTATACAACTCCCTTATAGTATCTGAGGATATGAAAAAAAGTGTTACAGTAGAGCGACTGTGACTTTAATGAACTGAGTATGTGCTGCCCAGATAGACCTCTTCAATTCGTCCATTAGCCAGTCAATGGGAGTGTGCAGTGTGTGCTGTGAGAGAGTGCCGAGTACGCACTTTGAATATGAATTGGCTGCATTGGCAACAGACTACTGTACTTCACTACACTGAATCAGTCCTAGTCACAAAGGCTGAGAAAGTGAAAGAGTGAGAGAGAGCGAGAGATGTGGGCCAGGCAGATAATGAAGCCCACTGACATACATTCTCCAGATGGAAAAATGGAGATTTACTCCTTTTCGCTCTCTCTCTCTCTCTCTGTCCACCTCCCCCACCGTTTAATCAGACTTACTATGACCGGCTCATTCCTAAGTGTGAGTGAACCATTTTGTATGCTGCACAGGAAAAGCTTCATTTCTCTTGAGTGTTATTGCTTGTCGCAAATGTTGGAGGACCACAGTGGAAACAAATCTGGACTTTCTTCTTTTTCTTCTCCTCACCCAACCTGATGCTATCTTCTCAATAAATCTCCTTTAGTCTCTCCAGCAGCACATTTCCACCATAACACACTCTGTCCTCAGACGGTCTAAAATGTGCAACAACAAGCCGTCTTCTTCACTTGAGTGCTGCATCTTTGTTTCATACCCACCCCCTCCCTTAAATCCCCTCTGCAGTCCTCTTCTGTTGTCAGAGTAAGGACCCTTGTGATTCTTGAGATTCCAGACTGCGCAATATGGAAATATTTTTCCACTAGAGCTCTCCTATGTATATATTATGAACATACCACTGTTGTTTTTACACTGCAGTGAGAGGAGTGAAAGAATTATGTTGTGCTGCCAAATAAACACACTGCAGATATTTCTAACATGGGTCACCTAGTGAGTTCCCTTCACGTCACATGCAGGGCTAAACACTAACATGAGAACCATGCTGCATCAGGAGAGCGATGTACTAATCTGTCGTCTTTGAAGGCTTGGCTCGCTGGACCTCTACTTTACAACATTGCATGTTTCCTGAGTGAGTCCCATACTGTCATACAGTCGTCAAGATTTAATGCCAACTTTCTCTTTGCAGTTTTAGCTAATGTAAACACATTATAGCTCAGCAACATCAAATCCTTACTATTTTAAAATTGTGTCTGAACTAGTATATTTGTTCAGACCACCCTATGTGTTGTGAGCCCACTTTGGCCTGCTGCAGTCTGTCTTTCAGCAGGATGTTGAGTGAAGCAATGCATCCTCGGACTTCTCTAGGCCACATGTAATGACTACACCTACCCGTTCTGCCCCTCTGCCACCCAACACACCCCTTCCTTTTGTGGTGACTGTGTGTCGAGGTGGATCGATGTGTCGACAAAACAATCTTGCTGTAACCCTAACTAGCTGTTTTTGTCTGAGTCATTAAGTTAGTGAGCTGCTCAAGAGATGGCATTTACACAGCAGTGTCTATCTAAACTTTGATAACGCTAGCCAACATTAGCCACCATAAGCTACTGGTCATACCACACCAAGTAAGGCTAGAGCAGCAGAGAGTGTTTAACTGAATTCAATTTTTAATTTGTATGAGAAAGATTGAGCCATTTCTTTTCTTTTAAGTTTTTTAGGGTTTTGAGGTCCCCTGATAAATTATGTCATTCCTCCCAAAGGGGTGTCAGAATTTTGTGGTTTCATTTGGAAGTATTTGGACGTTTTTTGAATAATGTACTACATTTCAGAATTAGGGATCCTTCTGCAGTCACTCAGCACGACACAAAATCCATCAGCTGATTATTTATTTACTCCTGTAAACAAACAAAGGTCATTAAAATAGAGCAGTCCAGTTAGAGCTCTCTTCCTGAGTGGACCCCCTGTCATGAAACATGGCTGCCTGCCAACAGAAAGAGAGAAAAAAATGTCCCTATAGTGTTTTCAAACCACTTCCAGTATGGCCAGAGGTACTACACATAATAGAGGAGAATAAGAGAAGTACGATTGAAGTTGAAGGACAAAAGGTTCCCTCCTTTCTCATGCAAGTTTTTTTTCTTGTATCACTCCTTAATGTTGTTTATCTGTCACACTGTCATTGATTTCCTTTGCTCTTTCTGCAATGTTATTTGCAGTCAGGAAGGTGATATTGGAATTTTTGACTTGTGCTGATATTTATCGACCGCCCTCCCTCCCTTTTCTCTTTGCCCTCTCTCCTCCGCCGTTTATTTTTCTCTTTCTTTCTCTCTACCAGCTGTCAGCATTGGCAGCGTGCCACACAGGCGCTTGCCGCTCGGCTAGTGACAGATGCAGCAGCAGTCAGGCAAAGAGGAGAAAAGGAACAAGAGTTGAAACATAAAGAGGTCGAAAGAGAAAGAGCAAGAGAGAGAATCAGGGAAAGAGAAACAGAGAAGAAAATGGGGTAGAAGAAGTGAAGGGCTAAGTGAGACAACAGAGAGTTGGCCCTCCCCATTGTGTCAAAAGGGACACAGTGCTGGATTAGGCCACAGCCAATAATCACAGCCAGATGGGCTTTGGAGGGGCGTGGACAGAGAGGGAGATTGAAAAACAAGATAGCCTGGGACATTTTCAGAGTTCGGTTACAGCACAACTTTATTCTGACATTTCTAGTTACAGTCTTATGTACAGTCAATACATAAAGTCAACGGCCTCCAACACAGTCCTGCGGCTGCAAGCGCTACAACTCTAGATTGCATCACTGATAGGCCACATCTGTGTGGCATTTAAGTCGTGTTGCCCTTTTCCCCCCTTATTAACATTCCAGAGCCCATTCCTGAACCACTGACACCGTTAGATTACCTTGACCAAAACATGGCTGTTTCCCTCCAGCTTCAACACAAATTGCAGCAGTCATTTACTGTTTTTGAAAGAGCGATTTGTCACCCATATAATATGTTCGTATCAAGTGTCAGGGCTCCACATTCACTCTGAGACTCTAAAGAAACCTCATAGGACAAGACAGTAACTGGAAGAGAAAAAGAGCCAAAAGAGAAAAAACATCATATTAGAAACAGGTTGAGGAATACGCCACCATTTTTGTTTCTTTGGGGGAAACAGGCTTCATTTTCTTACTCTCTTCCTTTCAGCACTTGAGGCACCCTCTCCCTCAGTTTTTGCCAGCGATACCTCCACCTTTTCACCCAGAAAACAAAACACAAGTTAGCATGTTTGAACAGCTTTGCTTTGCACAACACATGTACAATTATCATCCAAATGAGACGTGTTACATGTGAGATCTGGCCTATTAATGAGTCAGTGAATGGGTCTAATCACGGTCGACAGGCCCGTGAACTTGGCCAAGGCTTGCATTGGGCCAACAAAGACACAAACACACACACAGAAGCAAACAAACAAATGAGCCCATACAATGCCTCCCCCACCCCCCCTACCCACCACCCGCCCTCTCCACCTTGGCTGTTCTTCCTTTATGTCATTGTTTTTCTCCCCCAGTTTCTTTGTCTCTTCTTCTACCCCCATCTGGTGCGTGTGGACACGGCCTCTTGGTGCTAATTCACTTCCTTGGACACCATCTGCTGTGTGACTTTCTACAGTAAACTGAGCCTGGCTGGTCCTCTCAGGGAGGGACTGGCCCTGTGTTGTCACCTGTTCAGCACGCCGCCTTCTGCTGCCCGGCGTCGTCTTTCACTAGAAGCTCCACGCATCGACAGAGAGGGTGTGACGAAAAGGGTGTTTGTCAAGCATTAGCACTTCACTTATTTGATTTTCAGTCCTTAATGACTAACTCATGTCTCGGAGCAGCCAGGCAGAATCATTTGTTCAGTCTAAATCGGAGTTTATCTTACTTAGAAAAATGTTCAAATGTCCCTGCATGGACTTTTTAACACTTTTTTTCACAACACAATTCAAAAGCAGAATCTTTATTCATAATCATTCTTAAAAAGTCCAGTGTTAAAGATTCAGGAGGATCTATTGACAGCGGGTCTGTCAATGCCCGACCCATACCTCCTGCCTGATATGAGTATATATTAACGGCTCTGAAAAAAACAGTGTAAAAAAAGAGTGTCATTGATTAAGACTTTTTAGAAACAAGTTTTAGTGTCTTCTGGATGCAGTCTGATGATGAGGTATATGATATGGATAAGTCTCATCACATCTATAAGCATATGTGAGACATACGTGGACCATATGTACAATGTAGCAACAACAAGGAGTATTTCAGATAACTTGCTAGTGTAAGCAAAAGTTTTGTTAAAGCCCCTAGATGGAATTTTCATTTTGTGTTGATTTTGGTGTACAAAATCGTGCTTTTTATCGCCTCGTTTCATTGATTTCAAGGGGAAAAAATAGATTCTCGTTGATGTTTTTTTTGTTATTGTGGGTCATGTGGAGGCGTCACTATTAAATTGAGGCTGTTTCATAAGCAGTTAACACACCACTAACTATGTTACTGTTTTTGGTGAAACTGGATCATATTTTATTTCAGAAAATGTTTTATGGGTTTCTCTCTGATGTCCTCTGGCTACTCAGCCTTGACTCTCTGTGATGTACAGCTTTGCCTGATGGACAGAAAGCTAAAGTAAGTTACCCGCAAACTGCTGATTACTGTAACTTAGCTGCCGTTAACTAGTTAGCTCAAGTCATCAGAGCTTCAGTGTTTACACCTCCAGCACAGGAGCATGGGACTGCTGGGAGGAAGAGGTTTTCAGGCCCTGGGTAAGGGGGAGCCAGCATGAAATGCGCCACTGTAATGGGCAAATGGGCACCAGAACCAGAGCTGGTCGAGCAGGCAATGTAACCGGGCTCAGCAGCCTCTACGGACATCATGGCAGAGGTGAAGAGACCCAAGAGGACATTGGTGAAAAAGAGCAAGTAAGTCCCCAGGTTTAGCTGGTATGTTAACATTAGCCACTGGTAATCCTACACAAACTACCTGGTTTTGTTCAGAGTTCTGACTGTCAGGCTGAGGTTAACAATGTTATCTCGCTATTAACTTTCAGTATATAACTATAAACTATAAGCTGGCTAGCTGTTAAACCATAATGTCTGTTTTTTTGTTTCTACATGCAGAAGTTGTAATGTGCAAGTGTCACCTCCAGGTGTGAAATGGAAAGTAATGTAGCTAAAAAAACTTAAGTTGAGTAAGAGGTAAATTAGTTAATTACTTTTTCAATTAATAATGTGTCATGACTAACTGACTAATTTTTTTAAAGCACTTGCCCAATACTCAGGGTTGCAAAGAAAAGATTTTTAATCTCCTCTAAAACCAAAAATGGCTAACAATGAAACAGACAATTCCCTGTGAATTTAATTATATATCACCTCCCTAATCAGCTAACTTAATTACAATAGACTTCATTATTGAGCATGTCAGCCTCTCGGAGGTGAACCGGGATAATAATAGCAGAACAGTGTCATTCAATTACCAAGCTCAGCAGGTGATTTTCTCACAGCACCAAGAGGCCAGACTTTGCTTTTCAAAATGTCAATGGATTAGAAGCTTCTGTTCACAAATGTGCTATTCACTGCTAAGGAGCGTTTGTGATCTTACCATCATAAATCACTGTTAAGTCAACACTGTTAAAAAACTTAACCCTGGAAATTCTGAATAGGTATGAAAGTGAATATGCTTTGAAAGAATACCTCATGATCTGTAAAGCAATACAGTTTCTGGCTTAATCCTAATGGATGTGTTCCAGTGTGTGTGCGCTGGGTTGTGGAAACAAACGGCCTGTCTCTGCTCAGTTTCCTCCCTCGTTTCCAGCCAGATCCATTTCTTTTTCCCTTCTCTCTGCCTTTTC